CATCATTGTCATCATCATCATCAACATCATCATCATGAGCATCATCATCATCATCTTCATCATCGGGACACTATTATCATCATCATCACCATCATCAACATCATCGTCTTCATCGGGACACCATCATCATCATCTCATCATCATCATCATCATCATCATCATCATCATCATCATCATCATCATCATCATCCTCGCGGGACACCGCGGGACACCGGCGGGACACCTCGGGACACCGCGGGCCACCGCGGGACACCGCGGGACACCGGCGGGACACCGCGGGCCACCGGCCGCCCGGAAGGGAGACATTTGGTCCGGCCGCGCCTCAGCCACACGGGACTTTCGCGGGACACCGGCGGGACACCGCGGGCCACCGGCCGCCCGGAAGGGAGACATTTGGTCCGGCCGCGCCTCAGCCACAGGAGACTTTTTCTCGCCCGCCCACGCAGCTTCGCCTCGCCCGCCCGCACGGCACGCACGAACACGAAACCGAAATCGATTTCCCGGTAGGGGGGCTCTCCGTTCCACTTCGATCTCACCCCCTCACCTCCGATTTTCGTACATTTTCTGGGGAATCGACGATCAATCGTGCCTGTGTGTTGTTTCCCCTCCTGCGTGTCGTTCGACTCCGCCGATCGAGAAACATTGCCCCGTCGGCTCGGGTCGGGCGAAAGGGGGGGATAGCAAAGGGGGGGGGTTGAGAATCAGCTCACGCAGCTGATTTTCCCAGCGCCTCCCAGCGCCAGAAGGCGGCCACGTGTCGAGGAAGGGGCCCCTCGGCGGGGCCGAAACCAGCTGCAGGCAGCAGATTTCGTAACCCCCCCTTTCCCTATCCCCCCCTTTCGTCCGGCCCGAAGGGAGTGAGAAGGAGGAGGCCTCCTCAGAAGCTGCCGGGGCTTCTCTCAGAAGCCCTCCGGCCCTTCTGAGAAAAAAAACAAAGAAGAAAAAAAAAAAAAAAAAAGAAAAAAAAAAAAAAGAAAAAAAAAAAAAAGCAGAAAAAAAAAAAAAAGACAAAAAAAAAAAAAAATAAAAAAAAAAAAGAAAAAAAATAAAAAAAAAAAAAAAAAAAAAAAAAAAAAAGAGGAAAAGAAAAAAAAAAAAGGTCTCCCGTGTCCTCGGGAGGGTTCAGGAACGTCCTCGGAGGGCCGGGGGCACTAGCAGGAGGAGGGAGGGAGGAGGGAGGAGGGAGGAAGGAGAATAGGAGAGGAGCGAGGAGGAGGAGGAGGGAGGAGGAGGAGGAGGAGGTGTGAGCCCCGATCGGCGGCTTTTCGATCGCCAAAGCGCCACGTGCCGGCCGGAACTCCGCGGGCCACCGGGCGGCGCTCCGCGGGGGACGCCCGCGGCGGGGCCGCTGCCACGCCGGCACGGCACGAGCCTACCGCGTGTTGGAAGCACAGACAACTGCATAAACTTAAACTTAAGTCGGGCCTGTCCTTAAACTTAAACTTAAACTTAAACTTAAACTTAAACTTAAACTTAAACTTAAACTTAAACTACTTAAACTTAACTTAAACAACAGGGGGAATATTCAAAAGTAGTCAAAACATGGTCTGGGGACTGTTTTGTAAAAGTTTTTTGACAACTTTTGACTATCTGTGGAGTGTTTTTTTATTTTGCGTCGAAAATCCCCCTGTAGGAGGACACGCCCGACTTCAACTTAAACTCTTGGAGCTCCATGCAAATTGCTTGGATCGGCGCCGGACCCCCCCCCCCCCTTCCTGGCGCGCGGAGCGCGCCAGGGGCGGCGCCGAAGGCGCCGCAAGGGGCACTGTCGCGGATCCAAGACATCCGCGCGGAGCTCCGACACTTTTTGCTGATGCAGTTTTTGGGGCGGTATGCTGTAGGTGCACAGTGCCTAGAACATGTGAGTGTACAGTCTGTGGCTTACTTCCTTTAGTAGAGCTTACTGGATCCTGTTTGCTTTCTGAGGATTTGCTGCTTCGACGGCCGAAGGTTGGCGGAGGAGGTAAAACGAGGCTATATCCGCCTGCGGGGCTCGCCTGAATTAGTACTGTTTAGTGAGAGGGGTTGGTCAGTAGTGTTGATTATGTATGAATTTTTAGTACGGGTGATTTAAACATGTTTATGTTGTACTGCTTATTGATTTTTGTCTACTTAGTATTTTTTGCATTGCGGCTTTAATTTTGTGCAGATAGACAGGCAAACGACGGCAACCATCAAAACAGCCCAAAACAGCCAGGGAAGGGGCAGCCGAAGGGCCGAGCGACTGGATGCCAGCCGAAGGGCCAGGCGCGACATGAGAAACCCACGGAGAACCACCGGCAACCAGACAACAAACAACAACAATAATAACAACAACAGCAACAACAGCAACAGCAACACCAACAACAACAGCAACAACAACAACCCCAATCATTTAAGACTGGGGACACTCCGTTCTCACCAGTGCCAGGGTTTTCATAGGAGGCGGGCAATACCCCCACTTTGTGGGGGGGCCGATTCAAGCTCTACCAAATTTCCAAACGACTCTTCGCCACCACCC